TCCACCGTGGCAAATGGCTGTTTGTAGAACTCTCGGAGCAGAGTCAACACCGGGTAAGCCACACTCCGCCGAAATAGAATCTTGAGTTTTTGGGGAACGGTGGAAAATTCCTCGCGGCTCGATCGATCGCTCGCTCGCCCGCTCACCGCACAACTCCGGCAGGGCGAGGGAAGAGCGTTGCGGCGCCAGTGGGGCGGGAGACGCAGTGACGGCCTCGCTCGGGGAAGGAAGGCAAGCAGCGTCCACGTCAGATGGCATTCGATCGGCAATGGCTTTTGTGCCTCGTGGTCACGCACCTCTAGCGCATCGCCCACCCCCCACCCCCACCGAACAACCCCCCTACACCCACCTCGACCATCCCAATTAAAACAAAAATTTACATCGATCGTCAATGGTTTTAAAAAAGGTAGTTAACAAGAGCGGGGTTCGATCGAGCGTTGAGTTGGGCCGTTAGCCTGATCAGTTTAATGGGCCAAGAAAGGGAGGGAGACAGGATGAGAGATTGTGGCCACCACAGCCGCGGCTTCTCTTGCTCCTCTCTTAATTTCACTTTCAAACCGCGCCGAGAGATGACCGCGGCGCTGCCGAGGGGAACCTGATGTAGGTGTGGCGTCGAGACAACGAGGAGCCGGGATGATGATGATGATGATTGGGGCGAGGTGCAAATGTATAAAAGAGTAAAGGCTCACCGTGTCGTTTTTTTTCCCTTTACCGTAATTGGATTTAGAAGGGAGCGAGGTGCTTATATATACAAACGAGAAATTGAGAGAATAAGTGTCAGCTGGGAAAGACTGCAGTCGTACAAAGCGGGGCACGTATGTGTGCCCCGCTTGCGTGCCTGTGTGCGTGTGTGCGCACGGGGGAGTGCGAGGGAATGCGAGTTCGTGTGCAATTTATGGCGAGTTAAAGGTGGCATATGCAGCCACTCTCGCAAGACCCCCCCTGCGCTCCGTGTTATTGAGTGCGGGAAAATTGGTCGCGAGCTTTCTCTCAGTAGAGGTCGGGGTGGCACCACCGCCTTTGTCTTCTCGTGGGAGGTGGGGAGGTACGCCCCCCCCCCCCCCCCCCCCCCCCGCATTGGTGTGCGAGCATAAGTGGCACAGCTGCCACTGGGAATGCCCCTAGGCTAGACCGCACAGCAGCAGCGATCACCGCCCCCTCCTACTAGGAACATTTATGGCAGGACCGTCCCGAATAGCAGTCTTGAGACTCTCCCCTGGAAAAAAGGAGAGGATATTAGCGCCGGGGGCTGAGTGTGTGTCGTAATATTGATGTCACACGTATCTTGTGCCAACAAGCACTTGCAGGGCTGCACCTTTGCCTTGTAATAAACCCAGGCAAGCCTCCTGCTTTTGAGTCTCAGAACTCCTTCACAAGGAGGGTGCTGTTACATTGGGATATTTTGACCCATTTCCTTCCATGAAGGAGCCACACGACCCCAGACCAAACCCACCAGGCATACGTGGGGGGCTGACTGCTCACGCCTCTGCACAGTTGGATTCAATACTCTATTGCAGTTCTGTCACGTTGAGCACCTCAAGCCTACAACACCTGGTATTCACCAAGCCTACGACACCTGGTATTCACCAAGCCTACGACACCTGGTATTCACCAAGCCTACAACACCTGGTATTCTCCAAGCCTATGACACCTGGTATTCACCATGCCTACGACACCTGGTATTCACCAAGCCTATGACACCTGGTATTCTCCAAGCCTATGACACCTGGTATTCACCAAGCCTACGACACCTGGTATTCACCAAGCCTATGACACCTGGTATTCACCAAGCCTATGACACCTGGTATTCACCAAGCCTACGACACCTGGTATTCTCCAAGCCTACAACACCTGGTATTCTCCAAGCCTATGACACCTGGTATTCACCAAGCCTATGACACCTGGTATTCTCCAAGCCTACGACACCTGGTATTCACCAAGCCTATGACACCTGGTATTCACCAAGCCTACGACACCTGGTATTCTCCAAGCCTATGACACCTGGTATTCACCAAGCCTACGACACCTGGTATTCACCAAGCCTACGACACCTGGTGTTCACCAAGCCTACGACACCTGGTATTCACGAAGCCTACGACACCTGGTATTCACCAAGCCTATGACAACTGGTATTCACCAAGCCTATGACACCTGGTATTCACCAAGCCTATGACACTTGGTATTCTTCAAGCCTACGACACCTGGTATTCACCATACCTACGATACCTGGTATTCACCTAGCCTATGACACCTGGTATTCACCTAGCCTATGACACCTGGTATTCACCTAGCCTACAACACCTGGTATTCTCCAAGCCTACAACACCTGGTATTCACCTAGCCTATGACACCTGGTATTCACCAAGCCTGACACCTGGTATTCACCAAGCCTACGACGCCTGATATTCACCAAGCCTATGACACCTGGTATTCACCAAGTCTACGACACCTGGTATTCTCCAAGCCTGACACCTGGTATTCACCAAGCCTACGACACCTGGTATTCACCAAGCCTATGACACCTGGTATTCACCAAGCCTACGACACCTGGTATTCACCAAGCCTATGACACCTGGTATTCACCAAGCCTATGACACCTGGTATTCACCAAGCCTACGACACCTGGTATTCACCAAGCCTATGACACCTGGTATTCACCAAGCCTACAACACCTGGTATTCACCAAGCCTACAACACCTGGTATTCTCCAAGCCTACGACACCTGGTATTCACCATGCCTACGACACCTGGTATTCACCAAGCCTATGACACCTGGTATTCTCCAAGCCTACAACACCTGGTATTCTCCAAGCCTATGACACCTGGTATTCACCAAGCCTATGACACCTGGTATTCGCCAAGCCTACGACGCCTGGTATTCACCAAGCCTACGACACCTGGTATTCACCAAGCCTACGACACCTGGTGTTCACCAAGCCTATGACACCTGGTATTCACGAAGCCTATGACACCTGGTATTCACGAAGCCTACGACACCTGGTATTCACCAAGCCTATGACACCTGGTATTCACCAAGCCTATGACACCTGGTATTCACCAAGCCTATGACACTTGGTATTCTCCAAGCCTACGACACCTGATATTCACCATGCCTACGATACCTGGTATTCACCTAGCCTATGACACCTGGAATTCACCAAGCCTGACACCTGGTATTCACCAAGCCTACGACGCCTGATATTCACCAAGCCTATGACACCTGGTATTCACCAAGCGTACGACACCTGGTATTCACCAAGCCTACGACGCCTGGTATTCACCAAACCTACGACACCTGGTATTCACCAAGCCTATGACACCTGGTATTCACCAAGCCTATGACACCTGGTATTCACCTAGCCTATAACACCTGGTATTCTACAAGCTTATTACACCTGGTATTCTCCAAGCCTAGGACACCTGGTATTCACCAGGCAGTCAGTCTCCAAGCAATAGTCGAACTGCGCTCGAAAGCTGGTTAGCACTGCGAGATCTTCCGCGTCGGGCCGCATACAGGGGTCACTTTCGGATCGTGAAACCGTCGCCTTATTTGGGATTGCGCATGGGGCAGCGATCATCAGCCCCCGACTGGCTAGCCAAATGCCCCATTCGCAGTTTGTGCCGCACAGGGCAAGCTGCCATTAGTTGGGGGTCCCTAGGCTCTGAGATGTTTCGTTCCATTAAATTACGTTGAGTTGATTATTTTTTACAATTCGTTCCGAGGTCGTATATGGGGCTGTTCGTGCATGTGTGCGGGGGGGCTGATGGAGGGGGGTGAGGGGCGGGGGGGGGCAAGTGGGGGCAGGGGAGCGCAAGGGTGGGAGGCATGCTCGTGTGCATGCAAGGCAGTGCACGTGTTGGCACTTGAGGAGGTACAGCTAGTGCATCTGCCAGTCATCTCAGTCAACCGATGGCACCTGGCTCTGTACCGTGACCTCCTGCTCCTACACCTAACCTGGCACAGCAGTCAACCCATGGCACCACCTCGGTCTGTCTCACGACCTTGTCGGCGAGCCTTCGACACTGCACGTGATAGCCTGAAAGTTCACCGAGCCTGGCACAGGGCGCCGTGGTGACATCACCGTTACTTAGTGGCGAATGGCGCGTATTAGTATTGTGTGTGCAGGACCGTACTTGTTACTGTTCATGTGATCGCTGTTCATGTGATCGTCATTCCACTCGTTCACCCGGAGAAAGCCTCGTTGAGCCTCAAGATTTTTTCCGGGAGGGTCGCGACTGCTGTGTGATCCTAATTGAGTGATCTGCATTGTCATTTTTCAACGGTTTTACTTAACTTGATTCCTCTGTTTGTCGTGGTCAAATCTTGTAATCAAAATTTCGTCCACTTCCCGTTGTCCAATCAATTCCACATTTTGTACACGTACTCAGATTCGGTGACAATACATCAATTAATTAGCTACTTTAAAGCATTTTACATTTTGTATGGACGCCTTATTATTTATATATATTTGTGTAGGTCAAAAACGCCGCGGTCCCTAAACTGTGGAATCGGCTCGCACAAAACGCAGGCGCCGCGTGTCTCAGGCGCCATTGACATACTTTTCATAGACCGTGTGGAGTTAAGCGAAGTTAATTAAACCGTTCTAGATTTAAAGCTTTCGTGACTGCAAGGATCCATACTCTTTGGTTCTATTCGGTAAAGTCACGTAGGTTGTTGTTTTATTTTTTAGCTACGTGACTTTACCGAATAGAACCAAAGAGAATGAAACCGTTGTTTAAAAAACGTTTTTAAAGGAGTTTATACGTCATTGCGAAAGTGTTTTTTCGGCCCAAAAACCGGTGACATCGTTGTTCTGTTTAGGTTATTTTTGTGCTATGGGGAGGAAAACCGGAAAACGCAGAAGTCGGGGCGGGGGGAACAAACAAAGTCCACACACAGAAAGAGTCGCCTCGAACCCAGGCGGTGCTTGCTCTACGGCACCACCGTGGTGCAGGGGAGGTCACCGTGAGCCCGTGTCCCTGTGGTGTCCCGTGCACAGAGAAGTCGAGCGCCATGTCGACGCTGGTGCCACGGGCTCTGCTGCCCAAGGACACGGGGGACTACTTTCGCTACGCGGGCTCGCTGACGGCGCCGCCGTGCCGGGAGGGGCTCCTGTGGACTGTGCTGCGCGTGCCCGTGCCCATCTCCCGGAGCCAGGTGCGTGCACGCCTTGTCGTCTCTCCACACAGACACGCGCGTGCGTGCGTGTGTCTGTGTGGGTCTTTGTGTGTCTGTGTGTGTCGGTAGTGCAGCGGCTAACGCGCCGCGCTACGAACTAGGCGACTCGACTTCGATTCCCCCTCACGGCCAACGCCAGTGACGATTATCTAAACCGGTCCTGGGCCTCCCCTAGGTCGACTCAGCCTTAAATGAGTACCTGGTGCAATGTGTAAACATCGCCACTGGGGAGACAAAGGTGGCCGGGCATGGTGCTGGCCACCCACCCCCTCATGTGCCGTGCCAGCCTTCATAGGTGCTGCTCGCTAACAGCACTTGCCCCTACAGTCTGTTTCGGTGACACGGGGGATACTTGTGTGTGTCCCGTTTTACCTATGACCCCGTCTCTCCCCTCTGACCCCCCACCCCTTCCTGGGCCCCGCCCCCCGCGTCTCCGCCGTGGCAGCTGTCGCGCTTCTGCGGGATCTTCACGACGGAGCGCCTGGGCTTCAGCAAGGTGGTGGACTACCTGCGCGACAACTTCCGCCCGGTGCAGGCCGGCTTCTCGGGCGCCGTGTTCACCTCGCGCGCCAACCGCACCGGCCCCGGTGAGCGAGCGTCCTCCCCTGGTCCCCCTCGGTCAGCCGATCCCACGCGGGTGGGGAACGGCGTCCGGTCGCTCGCATCCCCGTACATGGACGTGCGGCCGAGGTGCCGCCGCTCGGGTGGATGCGGCGGCACCCCCAAGACGAGACACGTCGTGGCTTGACCGACGTCGAACGCGACGGGAAGCTGCGATGGTCTCTCCCAGGAGTCACCGCCGCGTTGCAGACGGCGAGGGGGGATGCTCCAGATGTCTCACCTGGAGACGGAGAGGCTCCCCTGCTGGGCGGGGGGGTTTGGGGGCTCTCGCACGCTTCAGCGGCGCTCGTCCGGACCGCGTGGCGCCGTCGGAATTCCGCGATCGCCGGGCGAGGCGGGAGGGGAACACCAATCAAACGCCACGTGCCACGCTCGGCGCGGTCGGCCCGGTGGGTGGGGGGGGCACCATGCACCGTCCCCCCCGCCGTGTTCCCCGCAATTGTGAATGTTTCATGCACCGCGATGCCCCGTGTCGCCGCGGTTTCTGTCGTAAGAGACGCTTCTCGGCTGCTTTCGTGAGTGGAGATTATCCACGTGGGATGCATCGCATCCTTCTCATCCTCCTGCTCGCCGTGAGCCCGGATGGGCGCGCGTGTTTGGAGCGGCGGTGCAGCGGTGAGCGCACCGCGCCACGAACCTGCTGACACGAGACCCGTTCCCGCTCGCGGCCACAAACATCGGTGATGAATATCGTTACCGGACGTGGCCCTTCCCCCAGGTCGACTCAGCCTTAAAGCCGAGATGATTGGGGAGACAAAGGCGGCCAGGCATGGTGCAGTCCACGCCAACTCCACGTGTGCCGTGCCGGCTCGCGAATGGCACTTGCTCCAGCTGGCTGAATGTTTACACGGGGGATCTTTACCTTTAACTTTGCACACCCATGCGTTTGTTTATGTTTTATCGCGGACCCTTAACTGCCCCTCTCAGAGCCTGGACTCGTCAGAGAGCACACATTTGCCTTGGCAAGAAACTTTACCAATTAAAATTCAATTATATTTTCCTTTAAAGTTTTGACAAAAAAAATAATATCGACATGCCTCCTGCCTACGTCCAATTTCTGTGACAAAACGGTACGTGATTTTTTTCTAAAGTGGCATGCGAAATGGAAAAATCCCCCACCCACAACACGCACCGGGAGAGTTTGCGGGTCGCTGCTCCTCGCGCCGAGAGCGATATGGTGCCCGCAATCATCGACAACATCGGCCGGCTGCAACTCAGTCCCGGAGTCCTCGGGGGGGCTGAGGGCAGGGGGTGGGGGGGGCCTTCTTGTCCCCCATGGGCAAGGATGCAGCCTCTGTGGGTATCGGTGTGCGGGTGTGTGGGTGTGCGGGTGTGTGGGTGTGCGGGTGTGTGGGTGTGCGGGTGTTGTGGGTGTTGGTGTGCGGGTGTGTGGGTGTCGTTGTGCGGGTGTGTGGGTGTCGGTGTGTGGGTGTGCGGGTGTGTGGGTGTTGGTGTGTGGGTGTGCGGGTGTGTGGGTGTGCGGGTGTGTGGGTGTGCGGGTGTGTGGGTGTCGGTGTGTCGGTGTGCGGGTGTGTGGGTGTTGGTGTGTGGGTGTGTGGGTGTCGGTGTACTGGTGTGGGTGTCAGTGTGCGGGTGTGTGGGTGTCGGTGTGCGGCTGTATGGATGTGGGTGTCGGTGTGCGGGTGTCGGTCTGCAGGAGTTAGTGTATGGGTGTCGGTGGGTGTCGGTGTGCGAATGTGCAGGTATTTGGGTGTAGGTGTGCGGGTGTGCGGATGTGTGGGTGTTGGTGTGCGGATGTGTGGGTGTTGGTGTGCGGGTGTTTGAGTGTGGGTGTATGAGTGTGTGGGTGTCGGTGTGCGGGTGTGTGGGTGTTGGTGTACGGGTGTGTGGGTATCGGTGTACGGGTGTGTGCGGGTGTGCGGGTGTGTGGGTGTTGGTGTTTGGGTGTTTGGGTGTCGGTGTGCAGGTATGTGGGTGTCGGTGTGTGGGTGCCGGTTTGCGGGTGTGGGTGTCGGTGTATGGGTGCGGGTGTGTGGGTGTGTGGGTGTCGGTGTATGGGTGCGGGTGTGTGGGTGTGTGGGTGTCGGTGTGCGGGTATGTGTGTGGGGAAGCGGTAGTGTAGCGGTTAGCGTCCTGCGCTATGAACCTGGCGACCCGGGTTCGATTCCTGCTCACGGCCAACACCAGTGACGATTATCTGAACTGGTTCTGGGCCTCCCCACGTCGACTCAGCCTGAATTGAGTGTAAACATCGCCACTGGGGAGACAAAGGCGGTCGGGCGTTGTGCTGGACACCCACCCCGTCGTGTACCGTTCGGGCCTTCATAGGTGCTCGCTAACAACTTGCCCCTACAGTATGTTAAGGCTATACGGGGGATCTTTACCTTTGTGTGGGTGTCGGTGTGCGGGTGTGTGGGTGTGTGGGTTTCGGTGTGCGGGTGCGCGGGTGTGCGGGTGTGTGGGTGGTTTGGAGTCTGATTGATTGCTTCTGTGGACAGGTGCCTTTTATACAGGTAACAAGCTGAGATTATGAGCACTCCCTTTAAGAGTGTGCTCCTAATCTCAGCTCGTTACTTGTATAAAAGACACCTGGGAGCCAGAAATCTTTCTGATTGAGAGGGGGTCAAATACTTATTTCCCTCATTAAAATGCAAATCAATTTATAACATTTTTGACATGCGTTTTTCAGGATTCTTTTGTTATTCTGTCTCTCACCGTTCAAATAAACCTACCGTTAAAATTATAGACTGATCATTTCTTTGTCAGTGGGCAAACGTACAAAATCAGCAGGGGATCAAATACTTTTTTCCCTCACTGTAGGTGTACGGGTGTCGCTGTGCGGGTGTGCGGGTGTGTGGGTGTGCGGGTGTGTGGGTGTCGGTGTGCGGGTGTGCGGGTGTGTGGGTGTGTGGGTGTCGGTGTGTGGGTGTCGGTGTGTGGGTGTGTGGGTGTTGGTGTGCGGGTGTGCGGGTGTGTGGGTGTGTGGGTGTCGGTGTGTGGGTGTCGGTGTGTGGGTGTGTGGGTGTTGGTGTGCTGCTGTCGGTGTGCTGCTGTCGGTGTGCAGATGTGAGGGTGAGTGGGTAACGGGGTGCTGGTGTCTGTGTGCTGGTGTCGGTGTGAGGGTGTGCAGGTGAGGGTGTGCTGGTGTCGGTGTGAGGGTGTGAGGGTGTGCGGGTGACCGTGTGCGGGTGTCGGTGTGTGGGTGTCGGTGTGTGGGTGTAGGTATGCTGCTGTCGGTGTGCTGCTGTCGGTGTGTGCGTGTGAGAGTGTGCGGGTGTTGGTTTGCTGGTGTCGGTGTACTGGTGTCGGTGTACTGGTGTCGGTGTGCGGGTGTCGGTGTGTTGGTGTTGGTGTGTGGGTGTCGGTGTGCGGGTGTGTGTGTGGGTGTCGGTGTGCGGGTGTCGGTGTGCGGATGTGCAGATGTGTGGTGTCGGTGTGCTTGTGTGTGGGTGTGTGGGTGCCGGTGTGCGGGAGGTGTATAGGTGTCGGTGTATGGGTGTGCGGGTGTGTGCGTGTATGGATGTCGGTGTGCGGGTGTGTGGGTGTCAGTGTGCGGGTTGCAGGTGTGTGTGTGTGTCGGTGTGCGGGTGTGGGTGTCGGTGCGCGGGTGTGAGGGTGTGTAGGTGTCAGTGTGCGGGTGTTGGTGTGAGGGTGTGCTGGTGTCGGTGTGTGCGGGTGTCGGTGTGACATTGTGCTGATGTCGGTGTGCTGGTGTCGGTGTGCGAGTGATGGTGTGCTGGTGTCGCTGTGCGGTTGTCTATGTGCGGGTGTGTGGGTAACGGTATGCGGGTGTCGGTGTGGGGGTGTGTGGGTGACGGTGTGCTGGTGTTGGTGTGCTGATGTCGGTGTGCTGGTGTTGGTGTGCTGATGTTCGTGTGCGGGTGTCGGTGTGTGGGTGTCGGTGTGTGCGTGTGAGAGTGTGCGGATGTTGGTTTGCTGGTGTCAGTGTACTGGTGTCGGTGTGCGTGTGTCGATGTGCGAGTGCGTGCGGGTGTCGGCGTGCTGGTGCTTGTGTTGGTGTGCTGGTGCTTGTGTTGGTGTGCTGGTGTTGGTGTGCTGATGTCGGTGTGCTTTTGTCGGTGTATGGGTGTGAGGGTGTGCTGGTGTCGGTGTGCGGGAGTTGGTGTGCGGGTGTGGGTGTCGGTGTGCGGGTGTGTGGGTGTCGGTGTGCGGGTGTGTGGATGTGGGTGTCGGTGTGAGGGTGTGCGGGTGACGGTGTGCTGGTGTCGCTGTGTGGGTGTCAGTGTGCTGCTGTCGGTGTGCTGCTGTTGGTGTGTGCGTGTGAGAGTGTGCGGGTGTTGGTTTGCTAGTGTCGGTGTACTGGTGTCGGTGCGTGGGTGTCGGTGTGCGAGTGCGTGCAGGTGTTGGTGTGTGGGTGTAGGTGTACGGGTGTCGGTGTGCGGGTGTGCGGATGTGTGGGTGTGTGGGTGTCAGTGTGCTGGTGTCGGTGTGCCGGTGTCGGTGTGTTGGTGTGGGTGTCGGTGTGCGAGAGTGTGCGGGTGTCGGTGTGCGGGTGTCCGTGTGCGAGAGTGTGGTGGTGTCGGTGTGTTGGTGTAGGTGTGCTGGTGTCAGTGTGCGGGTGTCCGTGTGCGAGAGTGTGGTGGTGTCGGTGTGTTGGTGTAGGTGTGCTGGTGGTCAGTGTGGCGGGTGTCCGCTGTGCGAGAGTGTGCGGGTGTCGGTGTGTTGGTGTAGGTGTGCGAGAGTGTGCTGGTGTCGGTGTGTTGGTGTGGGTGTGCGGGTGTCGGTGTGCGGGTGTCGGTGTGCTGGTGTCGGTGTGCTGGTGTACGTGTGCGAGAGTGTGCGGGTGTGGGTGTGCGGGTGTCGGTGTGCGGGTGTCGGTGTGCGGGTGTCGGTGTGCGAGAGTGTGCGGGTGTCGGTGTGCTGGTGTACGTGTGCAGAAAACGCCGTGATGTTCAGACGTGGAGACCCACGCAACATTTCCGATTAAAGATCCGGCGCAGTTCGACTCCGCCGCGTGTTTTTCCCTCCCTTCATCTGGCGGTCG